ATCCGCTCCCCATCACCAAACCAGGTCTGCACACAGTCAGTCAGCAGGGCAGCAACCAGCCTCACATCCCTTGGAATGGTAGCCACACTCTCTTGCTGGTGCGTGTCAATGCGAAATGCTTCCTCCACACAGTTCTGTAATAACGGGCCCAGGCTTCAGCTATTGCCCTTCGTTTCCATTCATTTCAATCATTCAGTCACTCAACAAGATTAATTAGGCACCTAATGCACGTAAGGAACCACGTTAGGTACTGGCAAAGCCAAGACAAGATGAAACCATCCCCTCCCTCGAGGAGCTTCCATTCTACTGAGGGGCACCAGATGTAGGTCAATCCAGAGCACAAACAAAGCGGACAGGAGATCATTTCTGGGGGTGGAGAAGAGCACTAAAATCTCCCTCTCCGCCCCCAACATTTGTGTCTTCTTAGCTCTCACCATTCCTTCCCTCTCACTTCCTCAGCTCTGCTGGGTTCCCCCAGTTTCCATAGTAACAGACTTGGGGGACTCCCAAGGAATCCTAGAGCCATTTCCTGGACCACCCACATGCCTGAGGAGGGAGCAGCCCCAGGGAGCCGGGCAGCGCTGGCTCATTCCCAGAACACTTCGTCTCCCGTCGCCAGAAAGTGGGCACTTACTTTTCTGAAATGACTCTCTGTCCTCCAGTCCACGGACAACCCTCAGCCTCACACCTGTCCCAACTGCCACCAACAGCTCCCATAGGCCAGGGTTCCTGGCCCCTGATTGGGCCACGGAAGACAGAATTTCTGGGCAGGGTCTCTTCTGGCCCTCTCCTGTGGTTCTCAATAGGGAAATCTCTCCTCTTAAGACACCATCCAGAGCAGTGGATAGAGCACCGGCTCAGAAGTCAGGAGGACCTGAGTTCAAATCTGACCTCAGACCAAACACTTGACCCGTACTAGCTGTGTGACCTTGGGCAAGTCACTTAACCCCAATTGCCTAAAAAAAATAAAATTAAATTAAAAAAAAGATACCACCCAATTGCCATGAAGCCTAGGCCATGAGGTGATTCAGGGGAGATGGCTCGCTCCCCAGACCCTCCTTTCCACCCAGGAGGCCCTAGATCATAGGGTTATGGGATCGTGTGCTCTTTGAGGTAGGGCTAGAAGGGACCAGCCTCTTAGAGAGGTGACATGGCTTGTCCAAAGTCATCTCCTGAATCTGAGCCCAGGCCTTCCACCTCCAAATGTAGTGGCCTTTCCCCTAGGCCACAGTCACTGCCTGCCTTTTGACTTCTCACTAGCCAGTGGGAACAGTCTGCCGACAAGTCTCCCACCTCCAGTTTCTCCCTGTTATAGTCTAGGCTGGATACCACCACTAGATGCAGCTTCCTTAAATATGGCTGTCATTAGAGCCACGACATGAACCTCGTGTTTCTGGGCCAAGAGTTCCAAACCACACCTAGGATAAATGTTTGAAAGCCTACTCTTATTTGAGCAGAAAGGGGATCAGTGGGGAAAGGGGTGAGGTGAAACAGTAATAGTCCAACTCATTGCGGCCCTTCCCTCCACTCGTGTCCATCACTGCCAAGCACAGCTTTGTTAAATTGTCCCAAGAGTTTCTGTGACTAAAACATTCATCTAACTCCCTCCCACCCCAACACACACACACACACACACACACACTTCTGTGGCCATCCTAGTAATGACTCTCTACAATGTTAGTCAGGCTAGTCCTTGGGCAATAGATATCCAGTATTTAGTATTTGAGGCAGGGATGGAAGCCAGGGTTTTTTTTGGTTTTTTTGTTTTAGTTTGTGTGTGTGTGTGTGTGTGTGTGTGTGTGTGTGTGTGTGTGTGTGTGTGTGTGAGGCAATCAGTGTTAAGTGACTTGCCCAGGGTCACACAGCTAGTAAGTATCGTGTGTCTGAGGCCAGATTTCAACTCAAGTCCTCCTGACTCCAGGTCTGGTGCTCTATCCACTGAGCCACCTAGCTGCCCCTGAAGCCAAGTGTTCTAAGCCAAGCCCAATACACCTCTTTTAGCAATCAAGTCATGGAAGGTCAGAGAAGGGAAGTAATTTCCTCAAGGTCACATAGCTAGCAGGGGCAGCATTCGAACCTAGCTTCTCAGACTCCAGAGACAGCAAGTGTTCAGGCGACGCTGATGATGACCCAGCCCCACCTGATTCTGCAAAGACTCAAACCTGGTGGGAGAATCTCAGAGCTGAAAAGAGACACTTGGTATAGATGTAGCGGATGGGAATCCCCTTCACACATACAGGCACACACCCCATCCCTGACAAGGGGTCCTCCTCTGGACCTCCAGTGAGACAGAACCCACTTGCCTCTCAAGCAGACCATTCCTCTTTCTTACAGCGTCATCCATGACTCCACTTGTGGGACTCTAGCCAAACTGGGCTTCTCTCCAGACCTCACCTAGGCGGGACTGTGCCCAGAACCACACCCTCCTCTCCTCTGCCTCCTGGAATCCCTCACCTCTTCAGGGCTCAGCTAAAGCACACCATCCCCAGGAAGCCACCCCCCCCGGCCTGAGCCCCCCAGCTGCCAGGGCCCTCCCTCCCTAAGCGTCCTTGTATCCGAGGCATTGAGTAGAGTGCCTCGTTCACAGGTGTTCAATCAATGCTTGTTGACTGACTGCCTTGTACTTAAAACTACCCCGGACTCAGTTTACATTTCTTCTGTACATGCTCATTTTATGCATGGTATCTCCCCTGATAGAATTGGGGCTCTGTAAAAGCAAAGGCTGGCATATAATAGGGGCTTATTGAATTGACTGCATTTTGGAGAGTTCTTCTTCCTAGAGATTTTCTCCTCATATCAAGCATAAATTTGGTTTTTTACAGCTTCCACCCATTTTACCTAATTCCACTCTCTGGGGCCAAGCAGGACAAGTTGAATCCCTCTGACAGTGGCCCAGGCCCCTACAACCATCCTCAAGGGGGCTTTCCACCAGTCTTCAGGATGTGAGCTTGAGACCCCCTCCCTGTCTGACTTGCTCTTCTATGGATACCATCTGGTCCTCTTGTGATACCCTGAACTGAGCACAGAGTAAAACGGGTCTGTTGCCTTCTTCCTTTCTGGCAGTGTGGCCTCTCTTGCTACATGTGCCATTTCTCGGCTACTGTCTCTTACTACTGACTCCCATAGAGCTTACAGTCTCCTAAAACCACCCTCTCTTTATCAGCAGCACTTCTGTCTAGCCAGGCCTCCCCCACCTTTGCATGGGCAGAGTTGATTTTTTGGACCTCCAGGGAAAGACTTTACATTTATTGCTATTACACTTCATTTTATTAGATTCAGTGCAATGTCATAGTTTGTCAAGATCTTTTGGGATCCTGACTGCCATCCTCTCCATTAGGTGTCCCCACCAGCTTGGTGTCATCTGAAGACCTCACTATATCTATGGATGCCTTTACTGAAGTCATTGATAAAAATGTTCAGCAGCACAGGTTAATTAAGCATAGATCCCAGAGGCCCTCTGACCCTTTTCCTAGCTGGCCTCACATGATGAGTGAATTCTCTTTGGATTTGGCCATTAAACCAATCTCAAATCCATCAGATAACACTGTTGTCTAGCCTTCACCTGCCCATCCCTCTGGTTACTTTGGATTTCTATTCAGAAAGCCCTTTATGGGGCAGCTAGGTGGCACAGTGGATAGAGCACCAGCCCTGGATTCAGGAGGACCTGAGTTCAAATGTGACCTCAGACACATAACACTTACTAGCTGTGTGACCTTGGGCAAGTCACTTAACCCCATTGCCTAGCCAAAAAAAAAAAAAAACAGAAAGCCCTTTACTCCCCAAATTCCCCTATGTTTCCATGTTTTATCATGGACATCCTAGAATCCCAGACTCAGAGGCTTCCTCACTGGCCATCTGGCCCAACTCTCTCATTTTACAGACAAGGCATCTTAGTTAAATGACTTGTCCAAGGTCATGCCTAAAGTCAATGATACAAGATGAATTTGGAGCCAGGAGTCCTGACTCCCAATCCAATTCTCTGTCCCCTGTGGCAGAAGATATTTGGCATCTTGGAGATTTATCTTTGCTCCTTCACTTTTTTTGATGAGAATTTAGCCTAGGATCCAAAGGGGCAGTTGAAGGAATTTTTAATGTTTGGCTGGGAAAAGAGAAAACTTGGGGAGTGGGAGTGAAGTGGGGGAGGCATCATAACCACTTTCAAATGACCAAAGGGCTGCCCCAGGAAAAAGGAATATTCTGCTTGGCCCCAGAGGCCCAAACAAGAATCAATGGGTAGACATTGCAAAGAAACAGATTTGGGATTGATGTAAGGAGACACTTTCTAGTTGGAACTAGAAAGCGCTTAGCACAATGCCTGGCACATAGTAGGTGCTTAACAAATATTTATTGAATTAAATTCATTCTAGCTGTCCCAAAAAGGGATGAGTGACCTTGGGAGGGAGTGGGCTCCCCTTTTTAGAGGCATCCAAGCAGAGGCTCCATGACCTCTTGATGGATAGGTGGCATTGGGGATTCTTGTCCAGATGACCCAGAGTTGGCCCAGATGACTTCTGAGACTCTTCTGGGTTCTACAGCGTGTCGGTGCTTATTCTGTTGGGTTGGCTTTCACTGGGCTCCAATTCCATTGAGAATATGTGTCCAAAGGGAAAAGAGTGTGGTCAAGTGATAAGGCTCTGTAAACAAACTGTTTTTCATTTGAAAACAAGGCATTGCTCCCAGCCTCAGAGGTAAAATCAAATTTACGGTTCCTTCTGATCACTGCGATGAGCAGCCACGACTCCTGAGGATTAGTGGTGAAGAACGCTAGCCAGCCTCTGACAAAAGAGCTGGCGGTCTAACTGTGCAGCTCAAGACACACGTCTTCCAACGTGACCAATGTGGGGATTTTTTTGCTGGACAATGCCTATTTAATATAAAGATTTTGTTTTATTTTTTTCTGGGGTATGGGTGAGTAATTAGGGAGGCGGTAGGTAAGAGACAGAAGAAATAAATGTTTGTTTACTGGAATAAAAAAGATTGCTGCTCTGAAAACTACTCACGTTAAGGTTAGAAGTCCACACGTTTCGGATCCATCCAGGGTCCTTCATCATTGGAATCTAAAAACAAAATGTAGAAAGAGGAAACTGAGTCAAGAAGTGATTTTACCATTATCCCCCCAGCTGCCTCAATGGAACAAGCATGCCTGTTCTATCCATTGTTCAAAGTTCTGGGATCATAGGATCCAGGGTTCCCAGTAAGAAATGCTGACACCAGTGTTGACCTCACAGCAAGTTTAATTGTATCGCCAAATATGTTAGGTTCCAGGTTACCCCCCAAAGAGACTTGGTCCCTTGTACAGAGCTGCGGTTACAAGGGTGACAGGCCTGATGTCCAGGGTTTCCAGCCTTAATACTCCCGCTCTGGGGACAGGGAAAGAGCCCTGCCTAGTCCAGAAGACAAGGAACCTCAGCTCTAGGCCTGACTCTGATGCTGACTCCCTCCACTTCCCCAGGCCTCAGATCCGTCATCTGCAAAGTGTCAGGGCTGGGGTAGACAGCAGCTGAGGGCTCCACTGGCTCTAACATTTTATGGTCTAAAGATCACACATCTCGACGCAGAATCTTCCATTTTACCAAGACAACAACTTTGTGAATTTGGTAACCAAAATATGATTAACTTCATTTTACAGATGCAGAAAGTGAAGCAGAGAGAATCACCAAGGAACTTGCTGAAGATTATGGGAGCACAGACTTGGAGCTGGAGGGACTGTGTTCTATGTTCCAAAGTTCCTTCTAGCTCTTGTATTCCGTATTCTAAGTTCTAACGCTTCTTTCATCTGTGAAATTCTCTGGTCTAAGGGGCCTTCTGATTTTGACAATCCATGTTCCAAGGTCCCTTCAAGCTCCAATATTATGTGTTCTAAAATCAACTCTGACATTCCCTGTTCTATGGTCCCTTCTAGCTCCTGCATCCTATGTTCTATATTCTAAGGTTGCTCCTAATGTTAACATTCTGTGTTCTAAGGCCACCTCTGATGTTCTCCAGTCTAAGATTCCTCCCAACTCCTGCTTTCTGTGTTCTGTGATCTAAGGTTGCTCCTAACACTAACATTCTATGTTCTAAGGTTAACTCAGATGTTCCTTGTTATAAGGTTCCTTCCAGTTCCTGCATTCTGAGTTCTGTGTTCTAAGGTTGCTCCTAGCACTGACATTCTATATTCTAAGGTTGACTCTGACATTCCCAAGCCCTCTGACTCAAAACCAGTACTCTTTCCATTGGATACTGTCATGCCCCAAGCTGGACAAGCTTCAAAGACCAGTTCAGGAGCAGACTATGGGGCTGTCATCAAGACAGCTCAGCCTGGCTGAGCCTCCAAAAGCTCATCACCAGAACCTTAGCCACTCAGAATGATTTTTATTTTTAAGTCCTAGCAACGCACAAAGAATTGTCTGACTAGGTCTTAGAGAGCTAGGCCTCTACATCAGTGCAGGGAACGTCAACCACACTAAATATAGAATACAGCACTAAATACAGAATTAAGGTCATGGAAGTTATTAAAATATGGAGGTGACTTGCCTTAAGGCTGCAGCTAGAGAAAAGGCCAGGCTTCCAGAATGTCCCCAAACAGGCTAGAAGGGGTGGCAGCTTGGGACTCGGTGCTCAGCATGGTCAAGGCTCTAGCTCGGGACCTGAGGAACTAGTAACTGGACTATGTGTTACAACAGCATGAGAAGATGTCCCCTGACCGCTCTGGCGTCTCACAGTAAGAGGAGTGGGCACTTTTACATGCTGAGCAAACCCTGAGTGGTCGTGCCATCCCAAGACAGCAGTAGGAGGTGGGTCTGGCATTAATTAAAAAGGAGAGAGCTCCTGGAAGTTTCTTCCTTCAACTCTGTAGGATGTTTGGCAACTAATTTTCCTTTGACATTCTGGAGGAGAGGCCGCCTTCTCCCACCCCAGTCACCCCAGTTATGGTTTCCACATGGCGCAGGAGGAAGCTTGATGAAATGAGCTTAAGCCTATGCCTCTGACGGCCTCTTTTCTTCTGTGCACCTTCCGCGGGCATGGGTGACCAGACAATGATGGAGATGGATTTGTCCAGGAGCGGAGGCAGCCTCCATAAGTTTGAGAACTTTGAGCTCCTTGGGGCTGTCTGCCCGAGCTGGCTAGGGACAAGAGGATTTCTTACATGGCGAAAGAGAATGAGCCCAAGCCTGGGGCCTTCTTGCCAGAAGATGCAGATCTGGAGTGAGTTATTGGGCTAGTCCAAAACTGAGTTGGAATGTAAAGGGTTTAACCAGCAATGACCACAAATGCTTCGTGTTCTAATGGCTCTGCGTCTTGATCTTTGAGGACAGTGCAAATTAGTTATCATAAATAGTGATAAAACACTACTACTGTTTTAGGTTTTGATATCAATGAGCAGAAAATCTGAGTGTTCTCTGTGTTAAGCAGTTCTTCCACGTGGAGAAAATAAATAAATGGCTTCCCAATACCGCACACTGAATGCCTTTCACCCCAGCACTTTGGGGAGGCCCTTGACACGAGCCAAACCTATGCTCTAAACAGTCTCTTCCCACCTAAGTCTCCAGGGTGGGGGTATAAACCAATCAATAACCAAGCATTCATCAGCACCTACTATACGCTGGGAACTCCTACGCGCTGGGGATACAAATATAAAAAACAAATAAATGAACAAACAAACAAACGTGTTATCTAAGAGTGACAGACAATAAAGCCTGGCCTCTCCCCCTTTGGAAGTCAGACCTCTCTGGGACTAAACCACGCCACAGCAAACCCAGAGCTGAGAGGGTCAAGGAAGAGAACGCAGTGCCCCAGCAGCCCCTTTGCCCAGAAGCAGGTCTTAGGAGGAAAAGTATATTTTGAAACACTTCTCAAGATGGGCACTACTAATGCTATTTCAGTTCCTTGTGAAATATTTTGTTATGTTGCAATAAAATCAGGGATCGAGGATCCAGATGTTCTGGGCCGTCGCTCAGATTCTTTGGGGCATGCAGTAAAAGGCGCTCTCGAAGGACAATAGTCAGATTGAGCAGCTTTTCACGAGGTAGTCCAGGCTTCTTGCCAGCAGCTGAAAGTCACAATGTTTGGGTTGGCCCCTGACTAAAAATGCAGTTTCAAATGAAATAACCAATATGTGCTTTTTTGCTGATGTGATCAAGAGAGCTTTGGACTGGAAGAAGAGGAAGCTGAAACCCACCCATGGAGTGGCCAAGCTCAGCCCTGTGGAAGCAGCAAGGATAGCCTAGGAGGAATAGCAGCAGAAAAATAGAACCAGTAATGAAGACCATGGCCTCTGGCATACCATAAAGCAATGGGGAACACGTGGGGAGCTGGGGATAGAGACTGTACCTGTGGTTTCATCGATACAGAGAACTGCCAGGTGAGGAAACTCCCTCTAATAACGCAGGTCACCACCTTCTCTGTAACTGACAGTCTGAGATACCAGACCTCATGTCTCTTGACTCCCAGACAGGGCCCAGGCCACCACATCTGATCTTTAAAGAAACAGAATTAATGCCCTGCCTCGAGAGGAGTAGAAATAATATGGAGCTTGCTTTTAAAAGAAGGTGCGGGGCAAGCAATGTGGAATTATGCAAATAAAGTGGCTAAAAATGTTTAAATTCCTGGGATTATCTCCCAAAGAAGCTATAAATTAAATATTGCACACACTTTTGTGATAGCTAAGAATTGCAAGCAAACTGGATGCCCATCAGTTGGGCAGTGACTAACAAACATGACTGGAAAGGGATACTACTGTGCTGTAAGAAACGATGAGTGCATTGAAGCCTAGGAAGGTCTCTATGCAGAGTGAAGTCAGCAGAGCCAAGATAATACGTCCGATAAATACAACAACATAATGGAAAGAATAACCACACACCAAAAAAAAAAAAATCAAAAGTAAATGTAACAAAATTATGAAAATCCAATGGAACTCAAACAAAAGGAGCTGAGAAGACATCCCAAGCTACCACTTGGTGGAGGTGGGAGGGCCACAGCTGTTACACGTTACACATGTTTTTGAATTTTCTCAATCAGCAGTGCTAACCTTTTTCTTTTTCTCTCTTAAAAAGTACTATTTGTCATATTGGAGGGCTCTGGGAGGCCGAAGGGGAGAAATACATGGGATACTGCGGTGGTATAAGAAACAGAAGACATCAACTAAAAATCATTTTTTTAAAAGGGGGGGGAGATAAGAAAGGCAGAGAGAATAGCCCTCCCATCTCCCTCAAGCATAGATGCTGTGTGTATTCCCTTTCTAGAATGGCAGCCCCTTGGGAAAGGGCCGTCTCCCTCTGTAATTTTTCTTCTTCATTCTTAGCACAGTGCTTTGCCCACATAAGGGATTAATATACGCTTTTCATTCATCCAGTTTTCGGACTATAATCTAGAACTGGGAGGGACCTCAAAAGTCATCTAGTTCAAGCCTCTTTTCTGGCAGGATTTGTTTTTTCTAGATTTCTATTTATTTTTATTCTGAACTTGACCATGGTGGGGGAAGGGAGAGAAGAAAGAGACAGAAAAGGAGAAGTGGTCTATCAGTTGGGGAATGGCTGACCAAGTTGTGATATATGAATGTAATGGAATACTATTGTGCTATAAGAAATGATGAACAGCCTGACTTCAGAAAAACCTGGAAAGACTTGTATGGTCTGATGCTGAGTGAAGTGAGCAGAACCAGGAGAACGTTGTACATAGTACTCAATGACTGACTTTGACAGACTTAGCTCTTCTCAGCATTGCAAGGATCTAAGACAGCTCCAAAGGCCTCGTGATGGAAAATGCTATCCACATCCAGAGAAAGGACTACGGAGTTTGAATGCAGATCAAAGTACACTATTTGCTCTTTTTTTTCCTTCTGTTTTGTTTTGTTTCCTCTTTCTTGTGGTTCCTCCTATTGGTTCTAATTCTTCCTTACAACATCACTAATGTGAAAATGTGTTTAATAGGAATGTATATGTAGAGCCCATAGCAGATTGCATGACATCTTGGGGAGGGAGGCAGGGAGTGAAGGGGAGAAAATTTAAAACTCGAAAGCTTATGGAAGTGATTGTTGAAAACTAAAAATAAATTAATTAATAAAAATCATTTAGAA